CCTGCTGATCCCCGCCCTGGCGACTGATAGCAGCCGTCACCCCATTTCTCTTGAGCTCCAAGGGGAAAACAAATGAAACCCTACCACCACCAGCAACCCAGTCGACAACAGAGGGACACCCCCATCTCTACCCTGGTCTCATCCTCAAGCTTCATTTGATAACTAACGTTTAGTGCTCTTCCTGAATTCTAGCCCTGGAAGGTCATCTATTCTAACCCAATTTTGCAGATGAAACTAATGCCTAGAGAGGGGAAATCACTTGGCGAAGTGCACATTCTAGTTTGTGTGAGAGCCAAGACTAGAACTCAGGTTTCCTGGCTGTTAATTTCTTTTAAATCTCTGTTCCTTTCAAGCTCAGGAGATTGAGAAGTTTGTTTACTCTCATTCATTCAAGATATACTTACTGAATGTTTGTATGCGTGTAACTAGATTACTTTGCTAGGCCAGAAGGGGTACCCAAGAAGAAATAAAAGGCAGCTTCCGTGCTGCCAAAGAGCTTACATTTTACGGGAGCACGTGATTAAAAAATGACTAGTACGGTCCATAAATGCTATTCCGGTTTAGAGAAAGGGGAGAGCAATAGAGGATAGCGCTGTTCTCCCAACAGAAAGGTGGACTTCAGTTGGGACTTGAAGGATAGGTGTGACTAGGGTAGAAAAGGAAAGGAGGAGCTGAGGCTGGGGGAAAATAACAAGAACAAGGATTCTCATATTGGTTGGGAGGTAGAAAATCTTTGTAGTTGGTCCTGTCTCTTAATATTTTGAATAATACTTAGTCTTTTGGGAAGGTTCTATAACAACATGAGCACTCATATGGTACAACCTCTTTGAAAAAGGTCTAGCATTATCAGAAAAAAGAAAAAAAAGTTAAAGATATGCCTGCTGAATGACCCAGCAGTTCCCATTTTAGACAGATAAATGCATGTGCCTAGTGTGTTCCTGGAGACTGGTATAAGAGTGTTCATAACAGCATTGTTTGTGGTAGTAGACTGGAAAAATGTGATATAGCCATAGAATGGAACACCATGAGTAAATGAGTAATGAAAGTGAATGGAGCAGTGGCTCTCAACTGGGAGTGGTTTTGCCTCCCAAGGGACATTTGACAATATCTGGAGGCATTTTTGGTTGTCACACTGGGGTACTACTGATATTTAATAGGTAGAGGCATTATGCTGTACCTTTACTTTTCACATTTCTGTGTTGTGTTCTTTTTCATACTTTTTTTTTTAAGTTTAAAAAGAGATTTTTGTGAATCCAGTAACAAAAACTGCACATTATAGGCACCATGAGGGAGATGTTTGCCGTGGATAGTGTTAAAGATCTTAGGTTGGGGAATTCCCTGGCTCCATGCTTCCACTGCTGGGGGAACAGGTTTGATCCCAGGTCGGAGAACTAGGATCCCACATGCTGCGGTGTGGCCCAAAAAAAAAAAAAAAATGGATGTTAAGTTGGATTTTTAAGAGTTGAGCTAATCAAAAGACAAAAATTATATTGAGAAGTTTAGGCATTGGGCAGCTATACAAAAAAATTGAATAGGGAAATGATTCTGAAATCTGCTATTTAGGAAAGTGAATCTTATGGTTGTATGTTGAGATGATGGGATGGGGGAAAATGTAAAAGGACAGCCCTACAGAGCATTTGGGGAACGAAATAGCAACAGTAGTATAGGCATGAGATGATGAAGACCTCATTTATTGATTGACTGATTGCTGTGTTGGGTTTTTGTTGCTCTGCGAGGGCTTTATCTAGTTGCGTCTTACATCGAGCGGGGACACTTCCTTGCGGTGTGCGGGCTTCTCATTAGGGTGGCTTGTGTTGTGGAGCACGGGCTCTAGGAGCGTGGGCTTCAGTAGTTGCAGTTCGCGGGCTCAGTAGCTGTGGTTCAAGGGCTCTAGAGCACAGGCTCAGTAGTTGTGGCACAGGGGCTTAGTTGCTCATGGCATGTGGAATCTTCCTGGACCAGGGCTTGAACCCGTGTCCCTTGCATTGGCAGGTGGATTCTTAACCACTGCACCACTAGGGAAGTACAAGGCCTCATTTCAAAGAAAGAATTAACAGGACTCAACCAATTTAATGTAGGAAGGAAGAAAAGAGCTGTCGATGATCTAAGGGTTTTCAGTCTAGGCAGCTGGGAAATTTGGAAGTATTATAGAAATTGGAGCCATCTGGGAGGGAGGGAGAACCAAAATTGGGGGAGCAAATGATCAGATTTTTTTTTTTTATCATGTTTCATCCGAGGTTGAGAATGTAACATCCCAGGAGTCAAGTGAAAATATAGGATGGCAGTTTGGGTAAGAGATTCAAACAGATGAATCAGCCAAATAAAGGAGTCAAAATAGAAATAATTTGTTCTCTTAGGAAAAGAATGTACAGAATCAACCAGAATCAAGAACTGAGCTTCAGGGAATAAATTAATTTAGGAAGTGAAAATAAAAGTACAGGAAGAAGAGTAGAGAAAAGCACTGAGGTGACTGGAAAACCAGGAAAGTACCTGAAGCAGTTTTCTCTGATTTTATTCTGTTCTCAAAAAATAAAGTGCTGTCATGAGGAAGAATTGAGCTTTTCTTTGAAATTTCAGAAGGCAGATTTAGAAATAATTAGTGGGTGGATGTTAGGGGGTTGTAGGCTTTGAATCAGAATAAAGAATTTTCTAACAGGTTTTTTTTTTTTTTTTTTTTAATAGAATGGGTAACTTTAGAGGAATTGGACTCTCTTCCTGTTGTTCCGTAGAGACTAAATGACTACTTGAAATCTCAAGGCTCCTTCCAACTCTGGGATTTTTTTAAGTCATGAGATATCTTTAAGGGCGGTAAGAGCAGAAGCCACTCGTATAGTCCACTCGTTCCGAAAGTTTGGCAGAGGAAAATAATGGATTAGCATGTTGGGTAGGTCTAAATGCAGAATGAGGAGGTAATAAATGTTTGATTATTTATCTTTGGTTTCATAAAATTTCTGGAGTTTTGTGGTGGATGTTTTCCACAGGCTAGAAAATTTCTAACAGAGCTCTGGCCCACTTGCTTGTAAAATTACGCCAAGAACTTGAACTCAAGCATGAATCAGATTGAAAATGAACCATACTAATTTTCTGAACTCAAATTTTTTTACTCAACTGTGAACCAAACTATTTTTCATTCAGAAAAGCATTTAGCAAACCAGTTGGAACTAGAACTCTACCGCGTTTTCTAAAATAACTGATCAGGCCCAAAATTGTAATAAAACATTTCCACATGAAACTGGAAATGAAACCTATATTTCATATAGTTCAAGTTTCAGCTTTAAAATTATTAGTAATTCAGCAGCAATACAGAAATATAGCTTAAATTTAGGTTAATCAGAAGGACGTAATCAGTGTAAATTAGTTATATGTTTAAATTAGAAATTATGTTTTATATACCTCACTTAAAATTAAACTACGGAAGTTCACGTACTCAGATTGTTGCTTAGCATTAAACCGTGTTTAATTAAATGCTGAGTCTGATATATAATTGGTGAAACAATTGTATGGAAATGGATGCTTTAAAATGATGCATTTTAAAATGCCTATATTTAAAAAAAAACAATCTGGAATCAATAACCTAACTTTCCACTTTAAGTCAGTGA